TCTTTAATTATGTATTTCCCTCAGAGATTTCCTCCATATCAATAATACTGAAATAAGATACCCCCAAAGTTCTTCGAAGCCCCACTGTTACCATTGGGAATAATATTTTGGTGCATGTTGTTGGCATTACCCTTGTCCTCTGTGAAACTTAAAACACTTGGATAGGGGGAACTTAAAGTCGCTTTCTATTGCCACAAGTCAGCGAGTGTCCAGTTCCTGTTTTTTAATTGCAACAATTATTAGAGATGTGATGCTAAAATACACTGGAAGAGATGTGTTTATGGTGATTTGTGATAATGAATCGACAATGGAAAATGTGAGCTTCCTATAAGAGAGTCTCTAAAATACCTTCTTTGGGGCAACATTAATTGAATTAAAATTTAGACTCGATCACATAGATCCTAATTAGGGTCCATATTTCGTGTTGGCAGGCTATGTAAAACTGATGTACTTCTAATTTTGATGAACGAACTGAGTGATATGTAGGTAATTAGTATCAAAATGTTTTTAATAAATTTTCCTCATTTTTTCTGATTTCATTATTTCATTCTTTAACCTTGCCCAATCTACCTTTTCCAATTACGTTTAAGTGTATTTTGAGAGCAAATAATTCAATGGAGTCGAGAGTCCTTCAAACATCTAATTTCACCGATTATTTAAAAGCATTTTGACGGTTTGTTTTAGTAATGTATTGAATCATTTCGGTCGAATTTACTATTTAGACAGAAAGAATATAGAACTGTTTCATTCTTCCAGTATTTTAAGAGATGTAATTTTTAATGAAGGCTTAATTTTTTAATTGCCGATAATGGCTTATACTAACCTTGGATGACTTTACCTTATGAACTATTAGATATTTTGGGTTGATTGTCATTTTATGATCATTAATATTTAGTCATTATCTTCAAAATTTGCTTAAGATAAATTTTATTTGGTTTAGATGTTTAGTAATTGGGGTGTGAGATAGACTTACCTCCTCGTGGTGCACCCTGGGCAACGCATAATACGGCAAAAAAGTCTATCAACCGGCATTTGACTTCTGATTTCAAACTACCATCACCCCACTGTATGTCATATTCTACCCCTACCACAGTACTCATCTTACCCTTTCTGAGCCTTGGTGTCTGTTTCTTTTACATCTGTGAATCGCTCTTCTATTCCCTCTTCCGAATTCTTCTCATTTGGATATTTCTCCTCCCCTCTGTGTAGCCCGAAGTCAACTAAAAAGCTAATGATAACTATCAAAACGCCTGCCATTTGCTATAAATAAATAAATAATGTTTAGTAATTTTGTAATAGTTTCACATTGCTTGAATTCACTTTAATATCAAGTACGATTAAAAAATATTAAGTTATCAAGAGGTGATGTGGGAATTTTTTTATAACTAATAAAAAATTAATACTAACGTTTGGAAACTTTTCTTATAGTTTGAATTTTCTTAAAGGTGAATGTTGAGCTCAAAATGTATTTTGACCTTAAAATGTCTTTATTATTGGAGTCTGTCTCAAAGTTCCAGACGCAAACTAGTTATAGGCCTTCGGGTTTTTCGCAGTTTTAAACCCAACAATTTCTGAGTGATTGCTGATATCTACGTCTCCAAGTAGAATAAATTAAATAACCGATTGTAGTCGAACTGGTCTAACTCTGAGAAGGGTGCTTTCCATAAGTCAGAGTTGCTGCCAATAATAAGTGACATCTCAGTTAACAAAATTATAATTAAGTCATTGAAAGTGAGCTTGACACAAAAATTAGTCATTCAAATTAAATGATGTTGCCTTTATTATTTTCAAGATAGGCCTTGGTGATTAAGGCACCGCTTGTGGCGAAGCGGTGAGACCCTGTGGAATAAAACTTGAAAGAGGATAATGTACTCAAACGTTAGAGAACAGGGGTGCGCGATAGACTTACCTCCACGTGGTGCGCCCTGGGCAACGTATACTCATACGGCAAAAAGTCTATTAACCGGCATTTGACTTCTGACTTCAAACTACCACGACCCCCCCCCCCCCCTGGTTGTCATATTCGATTCCTACTACAGTACTCACCTTACCTTTTTCTCCACCTTTGTGTCAGTCTGCCTCTTTTACATATGTGAATCGGTCTTCTGTTCCCCACCCCTCGACTTTCTACTACTTTGATGAACCTTCGCTCTATGAACCCCGAAGTCAGCTAAATGGCTAATGATATCTATCAAAACGCCTGCCATTTGAAGTAAGTAAAGTACATTAGAGAACAGAACTCAGGATAGTGAACCAGGTTTCCCTTAAGTTAATTTAATGAGTCACGGAATAGTGCCCTCTTCGCACTCTTCTTCGTCGTGCATCATTTCACAAAGTTCAAAAATTCATGCTTAAAGATTAAGTCGCCTTGGTGCCAGCGTGGTATCTCGTGTTCGTAGTGTTCTGAGTTGGCCACTAACCCGTTTTAGTTATTGGTTCCAATAGCCGATGAGTTGCTGACTCTTGCTAAGGTATTCTGATTTGCCAATAAAGGCAAAATAAAGGGGAACAAGAAAAAGAATTCACTCCTTCAAAATTAATTAAATTGTCTTAACTTTTAGATGCTCATGGGTGATATTTCCTCCTCTGAATCATCCCAAATATTAAATTCCAATTTCATTAGATATTGACTAAGTTGATTTATAATGCTATGTCATGGAAATAAATTTTGTTTTTATGTTATCCAAAAATTTTAAATACATCGATTACCTTATTTGGAGCTTCTCAATAACACACTAATAACTCAAAAAGCGTTTGAGATATATGCATATTTCACGCTCTATAAATGACAATAATTTATCAAATCGGTCTAATCGTGGCTCAACAAATCCTTAAGTAATTCATGTTTTGCGTGTAAAGGTGGAGCAATCTGTTCCAAGAGAGAAAATCAACCAACAATGAAATGAAAAGTTGTTGCTTTTAAACACTTTGGGAAATTTTCCCATGAATTTCAATGAGAATTAAAATTAATCGTCATGAAAGAAGCAAATTACTGAATATCTTTTCACTTAATGTATATTGAAAATGAGAACAAAAGCATTCGATCGAGCCTTTAGTAAACAATGGGTAGCCATTGACAGGGAGATATGAAGATGGATATAGGGTCCAATGACAATTTTAGCTGTCTAATGTTAGCGTCACTTAAAATTAAGGAGATAATTTCTAATGGCTTAGTAGAGTCACAGGTTGTGAGGCAAGAAAGGTAAGATTTAGAAATCTCATAATGGTGTTCTGTGGAAAATCAGGTCCAATCCAACCGCATGTCATAAATTTATTAAAATTCGAATTAAATAATGACAAGGAATATGTAGGCATTATCATGCGAAGAGCGGATACAGTTATTAGACTTTGAAATTGACCACATCCTAGTTTAGATTTTGAAGAGATAATGACAATTGTTGCTTCACACTGAGATATGACGAAAACAGATGACTCAGAGGAGAAGGAAGATCAACTAAATATAAAAAAATTTGAAAGAGAACATAGAATATTAAAAATGATAGGTACAAAATTAAATGGAAAAAATGAACTCAGGAGATATTATCAAATTAATATGAAGAATTAATAATTCATGATGATAGGAGCATAGGTACTCAGGATTAATTGTTGCATGCGTTTTGAGCCGTTCTTTAATAGCCTCTCGAATGACGTAAAATTGTCAAATTGAATAGAGTAAAACAAACTTACTATTAAAAATAGGAAATAGACTAAAAATAATGAATGAAAAATGCTTATGGGCTCCTGCTATGTAATAAAAATCGATCTTGAAATTAATTGAGAATCGGTGAATTCGTCTTATCTGGTTAAGTTGTTAAATCTGTTAAGGCCATACTGAGCGCACATATGTCCTAACTGATTTGCAGATGAAGGAGCATGGGGATTATCAAAAGAAAGTCTGCCTGAACGGCCTTCGTCAGTCTTAGCGTAACGATCACACTCAAAAGTAGTTTAATATTTACGTTGAGCACAGCTTTCATAACAGATTTGATCATTTTTTAGAATCAATAAGTTTTTAATTATTTAAATAAATCACTTTTGAGTTGGAGTTTAAATAAATGAAAGAGCACTGTGTTTCAAAATAAAAGCCTGACATGAAAAGACTTAAAGTAACATAGTACAGCTAAGAGAAAATAATGCACTAATTATGCAATTTATAAATTTTAATCAGTTCGAACATTTCAAAATTGATAATATGAGAAGTTGAACAATTATTGCTGGAAATCGTTATTTTTAGATGGTCGGTCCGGAAAATATTTTAAAACTTTATGCATAAAACTTAATTAATCGACCTTGTAGGTGAATTTATGCGATGAAATAGACATGGGGAGATAAAAATAACTAGGAGATATGTTGGCAAAAATGTGCTGATATCTTCTAAGAACACCAGTGTCTAAGGTGGTCCAATTGCAATGAATATTAAGGTAGATTGATGGTCTGAATTAATGCTCAAAATTCTTGATAGCCATTGACAGAGCTATTTACGATAAATAATGTAAATTATTGGAAGATTTTTTTAACTGGAAAGAATCAAGTTCAATGCTTCTTTATTATATCGATGGTTTTTTCAAACAAAATAGAAAAACGTAAACGGATATGTTTTTTCGTCATTGAAACGAACGATAAAACGGATTCAACTAGTTAATGCCTTTCCCCCTAAAATTTCAAAGTGTTTATACTAAAAAATTTATTTATTTAAGGGTGATATGAATTTCGAAAGGCTGATTTAAGCACAAATTACTCCCTGTATCCAGAACCAAATATGCAATTAATATTTTTGCCTTATATTAAGCAAGTAATAATTTTATGTTAGTAACATGTAAATATATAAAATAATTTTAATATATATTAAAGTATTAAATATTAAATATATGTTAAATATATTTTAGTTACAGTTTGTTGTTTAAAATGATTAAAGGCTTTTGCTCTGACTCGAAAAGTGCATGTTCTCACTTTTACGCCTTGACTGTTGGGTGAAAGTTCTTCTTATTTGAGTGTATATGATGACTGAATCGAATAACAACCTAGAACAAATTTCACAGCAATTAATCGCAGTATGTTTGTCTTATATGTGCTTCATTTCAGGGACTTGTTCCAAATGCTGCGAATGCAGTTAGGCTCTCTCGAAACCTTCCTACAAGTAATACTGCCTCTTTTGCTTATTATGGCAGCGATCCTAAATATAATGCCGTTATGAACGCAAATTCTAACAAGATAGAGTCAATGTAGGTTGAAACAAATTTATTAATTTTTCTAGGATTCAAAATGGCTTTGACATGATCGATGGAAATGTGAATATTAAGGATTTTTACAAGTCCAAGACGTTAGAAGAAAAGTTCGCCTCAATCGTATCCGCCAATGATAGAATTTGCGATCAATTGGTTTGTTTTATTTCTTATTTTATCGTTTGCTAGAGTGCCACCATGGATGAAGTTGAATCCAAAGGTGTTAAAAAGGAAGAGGTTTCCTCCAATAAAGATCAAATCGCTCACCCAATTTCGGAGGTACTAAAGTGTTTTAGATAAATAACTTTGTAGCTTGACACCTCTCGGCAAAGCTCTTTTCACACTTCTAATCAAAAGAGTTTGAGTTTACCTAAAAGAGTGATTCGACCACAATCCTTTTTTACGGTTAAACCGGATAATAGTCCGACCCCGTTTCTTCCTATCCTGAAATATAAACCTAACGCTATCACTGCTTTAGAAGGTAATTTACTCCAAAGAGTTAGATGATTTTGTACAATTTGCTTACTTCTATTTATTTCCATTACCAGACAGCCAATTTGTTGCTGATCCTCAAACCGGTGATTATGATCATCCCTACTTTGTCGAGCTCTCGGAATTCGAAAATTCTTTAGAAGACTTTGAATATGTTCCTGCTGAGTTTAACCCTAAGCCCTCTTCCTTAGACGCTACCCCTTTTGTGTTTGTGGACTCAGTCGAATCTCTCGGCCAAATGGTCAGTGATCTTCTCACTCAATCTGAAATAGCTGTTGACCTTGAGGTAAAACCGATAATGTTTATATCTTCAATATAAATTTTTATCTTTAAAATTATAAACTCTTCTTTTTTTGTTATTAGCATCATAGCTATCGGACTTACTTGGGGATTACTTGTCTGATTCAAATATCAACTCGTAGTACAGATTATATTGTCGATGCCCTTAAACTACGTGGCAACCTGGAGCGCTTGAATGAGGTCTTCACCAATCCGAACATTGTGAAGGTCCTTCACGGATCTGATATGGATTTAATGTGGCTACAACGAGATTTTGGAGTGTATATGGTAAATCTCTTCGACACCGGACAGGCTTCCCGTGTTTTGTGCTTCGCTCGATTCTCCCTGTCCTTCCTCCTTGAGACGTTTGTTGGCATTGTTCCAGATAAGTCTCTACAAACGTCGGACTGGAGAGCCAGGTAGGTTTGTAATCTATTTGCATTCTTATCTAACGCATCTAAGTTGCTATGAGTCTTTTTAAAATCTAAGCTTTATATTTTCCATTTTACAAATATGACGTGCCCTTGTTTTGACCCTGTGATAGTATGCAGATTAGTTGACTTCGAATGCTTTAAGTTCACTTAAAAGTTTATCATGCTAGTCTTTGCATGGCCTATATTTATTAGATCCCGGTTCCAGTGACCCTCTAGACATGGGTAGCGTAAGAAGGTTACTTGTGGCAACTTCTTATAACTTCAAGAAGACCGTTTAATTTGCTGGCTGCTTTACAACTTATGTAACGTGAAACTATTTCATTGCAAACACTGGAGACCAGTAGTCCATAGCCCTAGTTATTTGAGTGACAAACTCTCATTTATATGACTTTTGTTCGGGTCTGTGAAATTACTCCTTATTGGCTCACATCAACTTGTCAAAATGGAAGATGTCTTATCTGTGGGTTTGTAGCTTAGGGCCTTTTCGAATGAAAATTTACTTGCAATAATAATTGGATTTTTCCACATATAATCTGATTGCCCATTTTTGATATATTCACTCTACTTAAGAAAACTGATACAGGTTTCAATGGAAATGACACTTTTTACTTGGTAGAGGTCCCGGAGGGGTTTGCGCTGTTTTCTGTATGTGATCCATTTACTCCCTAATTTAGCAGGATTTAAGCATGCAATATCTAAATCATACCCATTTCCCAAATTAATACATCTTTAAATGTGGCATCTATTTCGTTTATGGTAGGGCACTGGACAATTTTCTTATACTGTGTTTTACTGTTGGATCAGTTATATTTCGTTTTTTGCACTGTGGCGAATTTCAATTTCAAGAGAATATTATTATGGATCTATCGCGACGTACAATGAGTAACCGACTGGTATATGCGTAGAATTAACCGTAAAACCTAGAATGTCTCAAATTTTACTCTAGATCCACTTCACTGTCGGTACTAAGCACCCAATGTTGAAAAGGTACAAACGTTATTTAACTTGTGTCTAAAGAGTTTTACCATTGTCTTAACAGATATTCCACAAATAGAAAGGGGATACCTTAGATATGCTTCAATTCTAGCTTTTAGGGTCAGTGAATGGTAAAAAAACATTGTTTATTGGAAATTTTTCTTAAAATATTGATTGCATAATTCAGATATCCTTTGGAAAGGCACTTAAGCTACTACCTTTTGAGGATAAAAAATTTTGATCACAGAATATTTCAATAAGATCAGTTGATTCCTTTGGTTTTCGTGCCATATGTCTAATTCTGAGTCGTTTCGATTCAATTTATATATCAGCTGTTATCAGACGCTCAAGAATTTACGCCAAGAATTGCTCAATTACTACTAATTCTGCTTTTAATCTTTATTTAAGGCCATTAAGTGAGAGGTTGATTGCATACGCTCGATCTGATACACATTATCTCCTCTACGTGGCGGAGAAACTGCGAGCTCAACTTGATGAGAATAACCTCCTTATTGAGGTTCTGAGACGCAGCTGTGGCTTATGTCATCGGGTAAGTTCGTCATCAAAAGTCAATATCTTTCTTATATGTTAATACCTTCCTATTGCTCTTTCTTGTATAGATTTACAAGAAACCTCGAGTGAACCCTTTGGGCTATCTTGAGAAAGCCCATGGCGATTTCTGCAAGACGTTGTCCAAACGTCAGGCCTATGCGGTGAAACATCTCTGCCTCTTGCGGGATTCTATAGGTCGAAGTGAGGATGAAAGTAATGGGTAGGCCCCATTTATTAGACTTTGCTCTACTCACCTAGTATGTTAATTCATTGTTGTGCTTTTTCCTCAGGTTTGTTCTTCCCAACCATATGTTGCACAATATTGCAGAACAATTACCCAAGTAAGTCATCTCAACCCACCCGACTTCCTTTTGTCCTTCATCTCATTTTTACGTTTATACTATAGAGAGCCAAATGGCATATTGGCTTGTTGTAATCCCGCTCCTATTTTGGTCAATAAATATCTCATGGATTTCCACAAAGTCGTGATGGACGCTAGGGATGGTAAACATGTTGAAAAGGTTGGTGATTGTTTTAGACGCTTTCCCTTATCATTTGACTATCTTCCTAATGTGCTTATGGCTTTTATCTATAGGAAATTGATGAAGACAGGGCCAAATTAAAAGCTAAAATTGAGGAAGGTGTTAAATTCTCAAGCACCACTGCGTCCCACTCTGCTCCTCATGAAAAACCTATTGCCGATAGGTCTTTTTCTGTTCATCACACACATATCCAAGAACCTCTTCAAGGTATGTACGGGTGCATATTTGAATGACCCTTCTTTAATTTTCATTTCTAATGTTTCTTCACTTTTAATCTAGTATTCGATAACAAATCTTCATCCTATCCTTTGTATTGTATACAAGAGGGCTGTCCTGGTTTAGGTTGGAATAACTGGGGACACCAGCCATTTTCATATTATCCTGAACAAAGATATGTAGTCGGGGTATGTGTTTACTTTCTCTCGTTGTCCTCCTCAGTATTATATGTATTACTCGTGTTTTTTGCTGTATTTCAGCTTGCAAAATGCCTTGCACCAATACAAGTTCCAAATGTAGTTATTAACTGTGAACATATTCCCCAACATACGGCAACCGATTTTAATCGCATTGAGGATCCTCTATATAAACCTCTTGAAACTTTGAGTACAGAGGAGTTTTCTCCAGTTAGGCTCACTCAAGGTATGCTGATTCCCTCTATTGGTGATATAGCAGTTTTGTGGTAATGTTTAAATTAGAGTTTCTCGTCATGAAGGTTCTAAAATGTTAATTCTCATGCCATGTTGAATGGGGCATCACAGTGACGACCAACCCCTCATTTTACTTCTAGCCAAGTTGATGAATTGTGGAAGTTCGTTTCCTCATAAGAGTGGCCCCAGTTTGCATTACCTTCTTTCAAGTCAGGTGTAGCTAACAGTTGTTATACTGGGTTTTGGGAGGTTTTCACACTTTCCATAAATAAGCGTAAATAGCTTAAGGTATTCGTCATGGAATGGTATCTAAATCCTAGAAAGTAGTTTATTTTTATTAATGAGAGTAAGCAGAAGTGGTGAAGAATTTGGAACCAGAGGAACTTTCTGCTTCTAACTGTTACCTCTCATTTTGTTACTTTTTACCTAAACTAAGGTGCTAATTTTTTAATAGTTGACATTTCAAAGCTTAAAGCTATTAATTTGGACTCATGGCAGCGAAATTTATGATTAAATATTCCGTTTTTTGTGTTCACGTTGATCAGGGTTATAATTCTTTAATGTTTAATAATATCCATGTCAATAACTTGGGCCTTTCAGATCACTTGTTGCGTGTAGTAGTGTTTAACTTCCTTCTTACTATTTGTGAATATTTTGTTTACTGTGTGTGGGTGTAGCGAATTAGAGAATCAGATGGATAGTTCTTTTATTTGGGCAAAAGGCTTTGATTGGTGGTCGGAGATACCTTTTATCGTACCAAAACGATCTACCTACTTTGATCTATAATCTCTCGAGTTTGCTTTGAATTGAAGGCAATATTGGATAAACATTCGAGGTGAGGTTATGTGCTCTTCCTCATTCTGCAATATGGAGGCATTTCAATATTCCGACACAATTACCGTATCGACATTTTGTTCTTGTTTCATCTTTATCTTTTGATCTCACACTTGGCTTTATGTGGCCTCTTCCCAATTATTAGTAGTATCTTATAAGAAATTTCACGCAGATGTTTCACAATTATCCGATTGCATAGTCCTTATTTAATGTAATAATATATAACCGTCTGCTTATTCGAATAGCTTTAATTTTGGCCTCAATTGGGGGAGGGTCTTGAAGATTTTGAATCATGCAATTTTGGAGTTTTTAACTTTTTTGCTTCCGGTCCTTATTTTCCATTGTCATACATCTTACAGTTTTTATTCTTCCATTGTAATTACCTTATCTGTACGATGTGCCTCACTTAACTTCTATTCAGACAACTCTAACAATATTTTAGGAGACATCTTGTAGGACAGTGGAGTTTGCTAAATTATTGCTCTTCCAATCATACAGAATGTGGATAGTCAGAGCATATAAGGTATCTTCCTAGAAGGGTTTTAAAAATTTTAGAGACAGAGCAGTGTATAACTCAGTCAAATGAGACAAATCGATAAATAACTAAATGGCAGGATGTTATTGGTCGAGTGCAGTGAAAGTACTGTACTGAAATTAGATAGTTAGAATGAATCAATTAGGGTAGGGTTAACATTTTTTAACCTGGCAAGGTCAAAGTTTCATTTAGGATCACCACAGAAAGGTGGTGATTAAGAGGTTTAAGTCTTAGCTTTTCATTTTCTTTTCCTTCATTCTTTAGCTGAAGAACTTGAAGTTGCGGGTTTGGGAGCAAAATTCGCTGGTGGTCGTTCCGCCCAATCTCACGCCATGACAAATCTTGCTCGTAAACGTCAACAACGGGAAAGACAACAGCAGAATAAACAACAGGGAGCTAGTTCCAAATTCGATAATCCCATCAACATTCCAAACGATGATAATGAAGAAGGCTGTGATGAAAATGCTGTTGCCATCTTGAGAGATCTCAATGTTCGTTTTTACTTAGAAAAGTACTTGTCCTTTGTGGTCTTATTTGCCCTATTAACTATTTTAATTTATTCGTTCAGATCAAAAAGCCTCCAAAGGGTTCATTCCAGTCTTCACCTATCAATCGGCAGTCTATGACTTCTAACTCAATTGACTTGACAACTGATGGAGCATCGAGTGCTGGTTCTGGCTCCCCTGAATCGGCTCATCGATCCAAGATCCCCAAAACACCCAACAAAAATCACCGGCAGGATTCGACCCCCTCCCGTCGTGGGACGGCTTATCGAGGTGGTCGTGGCCGAGGCGGCAGAAATATGTCCTTCTCCCGCAGCCCTGCTACCTTCTCTCCTCAGCCTCAAGTAAGTTCACCCCCTACTAATTTTATATAATTAGCATCGTTGTCTTACTGATTTTGCTTTCTTGTTCTAGAGTTGAACAAAATGAGACGTGCGGATGCGAAATTCACAGTGAAGGCAAAATGCTTGCTGTCGTTGTGTATTTAGTTCCTTAATTCTTATTTTGGCAATTGAAGTAACAATATCAGCTTGAATTGCTGCATTTTATTTTAATTATTTGTAGTTAAAATGGCTTTAGAATTGGATTTGGGAGCGCAATTGGTAGAATTTTAATTTGGGGAATTCAAGTACTATTGTTTTGACGAACTATTATAAGAGTCGAAACGGAAATAAATAATTGGAATATATTTGTTGGGAGT